TTTACTTCATTTTTGAATTACTGATATATGCCAAAAATGTATGAAATTTCTCAAAATTTCTTAAGTTGGACATTACAGAGTTCACAAAACCCTTACTATTTATTATCAATAAATCCCATTTTTAACGAGCTTTCATTTGGTATAAAATTCATAATATACTCCTCATTGCAATAACACTATTTCCTATGGGTATCAAGTCGGCTGCTCACGCCGATATACAGAAAACATTGGAATCTCACATGCTTTTATCGACTAATAGACAGAGTGTGGGAGAGAGAGTCATGAATAAGAGAAATAAAAAACTAATTAAAAAGAATTAATGAAAAGGAAAAAAAAATCTTCATTATGTTCATATTGATTTTAATAGAATCATCTTTTCTTTATATATGATTCGACATTAATAACTTCATTAGAGAACATTCAATTATTTACTAAGCTGCTTTGTTTTTTTTCGAGTTCAAACGAACTCGGAATTTGCCCGATAGATTGAGAAAAAAAAGAATAAAAGAATTCATATTTCTACATGTATTTTACAAAAAAAAAGAAGAAGAATATCGGAAGTTGAGACTATTTCACATTATTTTTCTTAGCAATTTTGTTTTTCTCTCTATATGTTCGTTCAATGTCTGTTAAAGAAAAAATTCTAGCGAAATTTCTTCAGACTACACAACTGAAATTTCTCTATTATTTTTTATTTTCTTTCAGTTCTTCATATTTATCTGCAACATTACATGTTCATATAGAAAAGTCATTTTTTTTAACGCATTATGTTGTTTTTCTAGAGTCGATTGTTATAATATGGTTATTTTTTTACATATAGTTTTTTTTTGTACATGTTCTTAGATGTAGAAAAAAAAAAGCAAAAATAATGTGGCTTGTCCGGCTAACGATCAACCAAAATGATTAAAGTAGAATCTGCATATTTTCAGAACCTGATAATATCATATTATAGGGTACACTTTACTGTGCTAGGAAATATACTTTATTTTTTTAATCTTTTCTTCTAGTGAGTGGAAAAATTATGTACAAAACAGGCTTCATATGATTGTTTGAAAATTTTCGTTCCTCCTTTACGTAGGTTTGAAGGAAACGATAGAAAAGAAGCAAGAGTGCAAGTCAAAAAACTAACAGTTAATACATATTCTGAGAGTACGAAATAAAGATTTTCTTTTGACATGATTTTCATTTTGATTCATGGTTGTTGGAAGAACGTAGTAGTAGTTACCTTAAAACTTGATAAATTCTCGCGTGAATGCATTACTAAAAAGAGCTGCTCTTAGTTTATTTTACGCTACAGTGACACGTTATTTTTTCAAACCGCTCAGGATTCTTCGTTAACTTTCCATAGGCTGTCCCATGGTGGATTTATTTTTCAGTTATTCTTTTCTATTAAAAAAAATGGTACATAACGCACTCATGCAGCCGTCATTTTAGCATATAATGCTTTGTTTTTGTTCTTATAATTAATATTACTCTGTTATTAGCCATTATACTTCTTTCTCTCATTAGATTTTTTTATAACGATTGAATGACTTTTTCAGTCGCAACACAAAAGTAAAAACCTTACAGTAAACATTGTCTATAATTGTATTTATGCAAGGAAGAACCTTCAAAATTCATTGAGGAATGTGATAGATAATAGAAGATAGGATATGAAATTTAGAGTAACTACTAGATCAAATATTGTCACTTTTGGAAAGACGTTCTTTTACATCAATATTCCATGTTTGTCATTTTAAACATGATCAGTAACTTTTAGGATGATTAACAAAAATATGTTACGCGCTAATAGTAAAACTATCAAAAGTGCGCCTAAATATTAACGGATTGTATTTGAATATTTAGGCTGAAGACAGTGACGCACGCTTTGAAAAGGAAAAAAAATAAATGTTTGTTCCAGAGATATAAGGATTAACTAGATATTTAAGGATGACAATTTGCAAACAAATAAGTGCATTCCATCAATATTTCGACTATGTTATGCAAACAACACTATTTTGAAAAAGAATTGCTGGTATAAATAGACCCTACACCTATCGATGTAAAGTTATTCTTGACTATAAATCTTTTTGGTTTTCGGGTTCACTGAAACTTTGGCAACCTGATACTATTAGAGAAGAAACTTCTTTGTATCGATACAGCACTAATATGTGATTTCCCTTCTTGGACACTTAGTATAAAATCAATGAATACGAAATCTATTCAAAGTAAGTCTCATTCCAGAGTTAATAGATAGTCTCAATTCTTAAGATTCCTGTTAATTTCTATGAGAAATTCGATTCAAAATTAAAAGTAAAAAGTTCATTGTTATCCTTGGACAAATACAAGAATGACATGTGAAGTTGCGCTTTATACTTTACAAATGCATCACAGCATTCTGACAAACTACGTGAAAGATATTTATTTTTTAACTGCTCCTTCTCTTGAACTCTGAGAGACACAATGATCTGTCTTTACAACATTTCAACACGAAGCCATACAAAACTTCGAAAATGAAAGAATAATAAGCTTTCTATACTCTAACAAGTAGAAAAGAAAGCACTAAGTCCTCGAGAATATATGATCAGAACACGAAAAGTGAGTGCATTACCGCAATATTTATAGTATAACTTTTCAACAACACTACGAGTTTCGAAACTATTTTTTCGCTTTAAGAGGCCTAACTATCCTCTATAAATTACAGTTTAGCCGATGTATTTAAAATTCAAGAATTCACAGAAATTTTGAAAGTTCCCATATCATCCAAACGACGGAGGGCCTTTTTTATAGGAGCATTACCGGCATGTATTTTTAGTATAAAAAGTGAATGAACCACAAAATCAATTTGCATGAAACTCATAGATCTTGAAGTGTTTTATTGTATACACATGTACTGAAAA